AAAGGGAACAGCTAAAGAACAGGGGTCGACTTGGGAGTAAGGCCACAGGTGGATGATGAATGGTCCCTCCCAAAGGGAATAAAAGAAGAGCGAAAGGGGAGTGGAGTTTGCAGGAGACCATTAGTTCGCTTCATTGGTTCGTGACTCTCTGAAACTCCTTGCCGGATTTTGCAGATCTCGGCCTGGCAACTCTCCAAGCCAGATGAGGTCTGTGACTATAAATCCTCCCTCAAAAGACTTTGCTGGATGTGAATGAGCAGAATTCACAGTCAATTAATAAAAGGGTTTTTTGTCAGGAACCAGGAGTTTGCTTCAGGCTCTTGGGAAGCCTCGGTCAGAACAATTGCTGGATTAAAACACAAATTTATACCTACATCCTTTTTGCCTTCTTGCCCTCTAAAACCTCTGACTCTCCTCTCGCGATGGTTAAAACAGCTGTCAAACCCCCCAAAGTTAAAAAATAATAATGAACTGATAGATTTGTTGCGCACAGAGCCAAGACATAACCTGACAAGTTAACAGCATCATCGGCAAACGCAGGTTCCTGGTTGTCCATCTGCTTACTCCATTACAAAAACTGACACGTTTAAAGCCCTTATAAATAAAATATTGCTTTGCAAGTCATTACAGTAGAAAGCCTTGCTCCAAAAGGAAGACGACAGAGGCACTGGCGTGGCCCTGAATTCATTTCCAATCAGAGCTCATTCATCCAGGAATTGATTCTTGTTAGCAACAAGCAGGTTTTATTTAAAGGGGGATAAGGAAGCTCAAAACAAAAGACAACTTAAGTAGCGTTCGAAAGCTCAGTAGAGTTCCAGCAATTAATATTTTTAAAACCCAACAGTAGGACAGGGAAAACAAACTATCATCGTTTGGTTCATTTCTACTTTTTGGGGACGATGACAGAGGATGTTAAAATTATTACTGTAAGTAAAGAGAAGGGGTCTTACCTTATCGTCAATATCGCTCTCACTGTCACACTGTAAATTGAAAAAAAGAGAAAGGAAAAGAAAGTTTCAGTTATAATTGGTAGGGGGAAAAAATCACGTGCACCCAGGTGTAATTCCCCACTAAATCCCCTACTTTTCCTCTCTTCTAGAAAATCCTTGTGTCAAAGATATACCTATCTATATAAAAGTGAAATACCACTCACGCATCATCACAAAATTTCCAGAACTGTAAAGCCTACAACCTTGAAATTTGGCATGCATGTTCCTCTTGGCTTCTAGGTGCTCGCTAAGAAAGGATTTTTCNATAATATAGAGAAAGAGACAGACATTGATTGAGAGAAAGATGACAGGTAATATATAGATCTTTGAACTCTGGTGCTGGAGAAGACTCCTGCGAGTCACTTGGACTGCAAGGATATCCAACCGGTCAGTCCTAGAGGAGAACCACCCTCACTGCTCTTTAGAAGACCAGATCCTGAAGAGGAAACTCAAAGACTTTGGCCACCTAATGCTGGGAACGATGGAGGGCAAAAGAAGAAGGGGACGATGGAGAAAGAGGGGGCTGGATGGAGTCACCGAAGCAGTGGGTGTGAGCTTCAGTGGACTCCAGAGGATGATGGAGGACAGGAAGGCCTGGAGGAACATTGTCCATGAGGACAATGGGTCAGACATGACTTCGCAACTAACAACAAGGGATAATACATTTGGAGGATGCATTTCTTCTTCTTCCTAGAAATAGGGAAGAATATGTGAAAATTTCCTGTGGATCTAAGGAACAATACGTTTCAAGGGAATATTAAGATATTCCCAAAGCAAATCCAACTTTCATTGCCCTTTTCTCTCAAAGCAAAGAAAAAAGGGGAAATTAGAATTCCAGAGTGTACAGCGGCTGGAATACAATCCAAATGTATTCATTATCAAACCATGGTGGGGTTCTAAAGGCTGTGAGATCATCCACCCAAAAAAACGTTGGGTTATGGAAAAGAAGGGGGACTTGCAAAGCAAAACAAAGGTTGCCTTGGTGATGTGCTACTTGAGACATCCACATTCCCAAAGTTTGAATTGGTCTTCTTTCAAAATATCAACTCGTCTCCAAATCTACGTTTTTGAAGTCCCTAGGCCCTTCATGTGTGCAGTTCACAACTGGGAGCAAACCCAGCTGACACAACACTGTGAGGCCACCTGCCAATAACCAGGACACAACTGTCTTCGTTGCTACAAATAAACGCACGGACATTCCTGTTAAAAAATAGGCTTTCTACTCAATCAAAGGGATCCCTGTATTTAGGCCTGTAGGAGTCAAGAAAGACAGGTGGGATGGATCCTGAAGCATGCAGATCTAGGCTGCATCAACAGAGGGAATCAAGATCACATGAAGGGTTAATACCACTTTATAAGGCCTTGGTAAGGCCACATTTGGAATACGGCATCCAGTTTTGGTCACCACGATGTAAAAAAGATGTTGAGACTCTAGAAAGAGTGCAGAGAAGAGCAACAAAGATGATTAGGG